TCTATTTCTATTTGAAAGGCAAAGTTACAAAAAGGGACAAAGAATCTCCCACCCACGGGTTCACTACACAAATGGCTGCTTTGGGCAGAGGTGGGATGGTCCAAAGCTAGGAGCCAGGAGCTTTGCCAGGTCTCCCATGTGGGTGGCAGGGACCCAAGGCCTTGAGCATCCACTGCTTTCCAAGGCCATAAGCAGGGAACTGGGTGAGAAATGAACAGCCGAGTCTTGAACAGGTTGCCCATACAGGACGCCGGCGCCATACGCTAAGGCTTAATTGGCTATGCCAGAGTATCAGTCCTCCAGCTTCCATTTAATGCCCCTGGCAAGGCAGAGGAGAACGGCTCAAGTGCTCTGGACCCCTAAAGATCAGGATGAATTCCTGGATCCTGCCTTCAGTTTAACTGAGCCCCAGCCAACACAGATCTATCTGCAGAATGAGCCAGCAAATAGACAAATCAATATATAATTACAGGAAATAAATAAAGCAGTTCAGCCATGCAGAGGCAAGAGGACATGGGACATGGCACCCCGACACCTTTCACTCAGGTAGACAGGGATAGGGCCTTTGAATGCAAATGCAAGTTAATTTCTTACAATAAGAAACAGAGATCTTCCAAGCTCTGGTTCACTCCCCAGGGGCCGCAATGGTCAGAGCTGAGCCAATCCCACGCCAGGAGTCAGGAGCTTCCTCTGGGTCTCCCACATGGTGGCAAAGGTCCAGGTACTTGGGCCATTCTCCACTGCCTTCCCAGGCCACCAGCAGGGAGCTGGATGGGAAGTGGAGCTGCCAGGATTAGAACCAGCGTCCAGGAGATCCTGGCACTTGTGAAGATTCAGCCATGGAGTCATTCCACAGGGCCCTCCTTTTTTTAAAATTGGCATTTCTGTATTCTCTCTCCTTTCTCCCAGCTAACAGTCCAGCATGCAGTGCCTCTTGCTGCCAGATGAGGGCAACGTTGCTCCTCCAGCAAACGCTATGGCTGTCAGCGCAAACCCACTTTTTCTGTGCTAATCCCTCCGAGTCAAAGTGGGGCATCCAATATAGGTACATTCACAGCAAGTAGAGCTGTGGTTATGGAATTTCAATATGGAAGATGAAAAAAAATGTGGCGATTGATAGATGGTGATGATGGCTGCACAGCAGTGTGAATTAGTTAGCCCACTGAAACTGTAAATTTAATAAGTGTTTTAGAGAAGCCCAGTACAACAGCTCAGTGGCTAAATCCTTGCCTTGCAAGTGCCACCATCTCATCCAGTGTCCGGTTCTTGTCCTACCTGCTCCACTTCCCATCCAGCTCCCTGCTTGTGGACTGCGGAAGCAGTCAAGGACAGCTCAAAGCCTTGGGTCCCTGCTCCCGCGAGGGAGACCGGAAGGAGGCTGCTAGAGCTCCTGACCAGCTCAGCTCTGGCCACTGCAGCCAGCAGATGGAAGATCTTTCCCATCCCTCTGTCTGTAAATCTGCCTTTCCAATGAAAGCAAATATTAAATAAATTAATTAAATAATGCATTCACGGGGACCTGACACGGAAGCCTGGTGGCTAAAGTCCTTGCCTTGCATGCACCAGGATCCCATGTAGGCTCCAGTTTGTGTCCCACTTGCTCCACTTCCCTCCCAGATCCCCGTTTGTGGCCTGGAAAAGCAATGGAGGATGGTTCAAAGTCTTGGGACCCTGCCCCGCATGGAGACCCGGAAGAGACTCCTGGCTTTGGATCAGCTCGGCTCCGGCCGCTGCAGCCACTTGGTGAGTGAACCAGCAGATCGAAGATCTTTCTGTCTCTCCTTCTCTCTGTAAATCTATCTTCCCAATAAAATTAAATCTTTTAAAATAAGAATAATAATGTATTCAAGTATTTTCATCTATTTGAAAGGCAGAGTAGCGGAGAAACAGACAGAGCTTCCATCCGTGACTCGCTCCAAAGGGCTGCAATGGCTAGCACTGTGGTGCCAAGGGTTCCGCTGCCACCTGCAGGGCAAGCTAGTCTACTTCTCTGAAGCTCCTTCTGCCGGTAACTCTACCTTTCAATTTGAAAAGAAAAAGAAAAAAGAAATAAAGACATAAAAAAGAGAAAGAAGGAAAATGCTTGAACAGCAGGGTTAGGCCCAGCCAAAGGCAAGAGACCAGAATTCCCCCCCAGGACTCCCTCATGGGTGACAGGGGCCGAAGCACCTGTGTTAGCATCACCTGCCACCTTCCGGGACATATCCGCCGGGAGCTGGATCAGACACAGAGCAGCAGGGATTAACATTAACAGTCAATACCCTCGACTAATGTTTTTCAACACATTTTTCTCATTTGCCGTTACTCACCACCCTACTGCTGAAGTCAACAAAATACATGAGCACACACCCATACCTCTACAAATACATACATTCCACTCTCTTGGGAAATACATCCTTTGTTCACAGAATGTTTTCTTCCTACCTTATTTCAAGGAAAAAAATAATCAAGACTCAACTATTTTGGAGATCATGGAACTTGTGTATTTTCAAATTTAAATCTGGGATGGGGAAAGTAGACAGCCTTGTGTGTATCAAGCTAAATTAACACCTTTGACTTAGGCATTCCATACGCACTCCAGTTCTAGTCCCAGTAGCTCCACTTTCCAACCAGCCCCCAGCTAATGTGCCTAGTGCAAGCATTACAGGATCACGCAAGGCCTCGGCATCCTAAACCCGCACAGGAGACCCAGAAAAATCTGGCTTCGGATCAGCCCATCTCCAACTGGCTGTGGCGATTTCACGAGTAAACCAGGGATGGAAGATCTGTGTCTCCCTCTTTTCGTAATTCTTTCAAGAAAGAGATCTTCCATTTGCTGGTTAGCTTCTGAAATGGCTGTGACAGCAGAGCTGAATGGCGCTAAGCCAGGAGCCAGGAACTTCTTCCCGGCCTCCCACACAGAGCAGGGGCCTAAGGACTTGGGCCGTCCTCCACTGTCTCAAGCTCATTAGCAGCTTGACAGTAACTGGAGCAACTGAGACTCACACCAGTGTTAAATGGGATGCCGCGTGTAGCGGTGGGCTCACAGCACTGGCCCCAAACAAATAAACCTTTTTCTTTAAAGGTAGATTTACAGAGAGAAGGAAACGGAAGTATCTTTGATCCGCTGGTTCACTGCACCAAATGGCAGCAAAGGCCAGAACTGAGCTAATCCAAAGCTAGGAGCCAGTAGCTTCTTCCAGGTCTCCCATGGCTTTGGGCCATCCTCCGGCAGCCCTGCTTCCCATCCAGCTCCCTGCTTGTGTCCTGGGAAAGCAGTCGAGGACGGCCCAAGGCCTTGGGACCCTGCACCCACGTGGGAGACCTGGAAGACTCCTGGCTCCTGGCTTTCGATCAGGGCAACACCAACCGTTGCGCTCACTTGGGGAGTGAATCATCGACAGAAGATCTTCCTCTCTGTCTCTCCTCCTCTCTGTATATCTGCCTTTGCAATAAAAATAAATCTTCTCTCCCACCGGCTGTTTTTACCCAAGCTGCTCCAACTTTCCATTCCAGCTCTCGTAGAATGGCCTGGAAAAGCAGATGGATGGCCTAAGACTTGCCCCTGTGTTGCAGACAAGGAGGCTCCTGGCTTCAACGTGGGCCAGACCCAGCCATCACAGGCACTTGAGAAGTGAACCAGCAGATAGAAGACCTCTCTGTACACTCCTCTGTAGTTCTTCAAAACAGATCCTTTAAAAATATATATACAGAATGGGCCTGGCACAGTAGCCCAGCAGCTAAAGTCCTCGCTTTGCACGCACCAGGATCCCACATGGGCGCTGGTTCATGTCCCAGCTGCTCCACTTCCCATCCAGCTCCCTGCTTGTGGCCTGGGAAAGCAGCCGAGGACGGCCCAAAGCCCTGGGACCCTGCACCCGCGTGGGAGACCTGGGCTTCGGATCACCTCAGCTCTGGCTGTTGTGCTCAATTGAGGCCTCCATCTCCTCTCTGTAAACTCCAACAAAAATAAATACATCTTTACAATTCTCTGCCTCCACCCCAGAGCGCCCCTTCCCCTTCTCAGTTTATTTTTATCCCAGCACTTAGCTGCTAGGACGTACTGGTTTGTCTACCCCGTATGTCCCCCACGGAGCGACAGGACACTCTGTTCCCAGCAGTGCTTGTGTGTCCAGCAGGTGTTTGTCCCTGCCACCCCTCCATCGCTTCAAAAAACCGCATCCATTTCTTTTTTTTTTCTAGTCCCTACCTTGTCATGGACTGAACGACCTCACTTTTGGCCCACAGACGTGTTCTGGTTAACTAGCACGCACTTAGACACTCTGAATTCTGTTAAAGAGCTACGTATCTTACCCGAGACGTGTTCTAGCACCCAAACAACCAACCAGCCGAGCTGGGGGAGAGCTATGCAGCTCCCACTGGTCTAGATCCCGGCCTGACTTCTCCTCATTGCTACTAACGCAACACCTGCTAGCACAGAACCTTTTCCCACGTAAGAAGGGACCTGCCGCCCCGTACCTGGCTCGCCCCCCGCGCCGAGACCCTGGACATCAGCCCCCGAAAGAGCAGCGGGCGCCTCGCGAGGATCCGACGCCATGCCGGCCTCCGGTTCGGAAAGCTCGGGGTCCTTGGGCTCCATGGAGGCGGATCCCGCACACGGGCTTAGGATGAGTGCAGACGAGGGGGTTTCGAGGCAGGGCCGAAGGGTGGACGGCGGGGACCGGCAAGGACCGTCCCTCGGTGATGCTCGCGCACACTCCCAGCGGACCGCTGCAATGCAGTCGACACGCCTCCGCACTCCCCAACAGCGCATGCGCGCCTCCTTCCCCTCCCCCGCGCCGCAGCTTCGCAGGGAGCATGCGCATCGCAGGACCCCCGTCTCCCGCCCCGGCCCCGACTCCCGCGCTCTCCTTCTGCGCCTGCGCCCTGCTCAGTTCCGCCCCTACATCCCATGGATCTTTGCGGGATGCTATTTAAGCGACTGCAGGCGGGGGGATCGGTCTCGTTTTCTCTCCGTTTTCCCACGGGTAAGTTGGGTGGTTTGAGATCTTGCTTTTTGGGTGGTGTGGACTTGGGAATGGAATCAGCCGCTGCCTTGTGGCGTTTTGCATGGTCCCTTGTCGAGGCCAGGCCCGAAAGGGCCTGCTCCCCTGGGCCTTAAAGGCTTCGGGAAGGATCGCGGGGAGTCGCGGGGGACAAGATGGCGGCGGGCGGCCCTCCCTGTGATGAGGACCCTTTCACAGACCTGTGCTGAGCTCCGTGAGGACAAGTAACTCTGAGGAGCCGGGCCTGCACGGCCGCTGCCAGCCCCGGGCTGCTCGGCGCGCCCCACGTGCCCGCCTGACCCCTGGTTCTCCCTGCAGGACTCGGAGGTTGCCCTTGCAGGCTCGGGAGGCGGCCCGCTGCTCAGTAAGTTGTCCCAAACCATGTGCAACCTGGCTAGGCGGGGCGGGGAGTGCTACGGGGATGAACTTCACCTTTGAACTCTCTCTTGCTGAGGGCTTAGTGGAGAAAAAGCGGAATACTGAGCAGCACTGCGGGTACCCGGCGGCTGCATCGTACCTGCGTGCCTGGTGTGTGACTGCAAGGCCTCTTTGTTTACAGATGGGGTCCAGCTCGAGGAGGCCTCCTGCGTGGACCATGCGGCCACCTCCGTGCGTCCCCGCGACGCTCCAGGTGGGGACACGTGCTCCGTGGACCGGAGCGGGCGGCCCTGGGGTGACCACTTCATGATGAATGTAAATGACAAGCATATGGCTGACTGGCCGTGATGTCGACTTCTTACTGAGAAGTGTGCTGGGAGGATTCCAGGGTCCTTGGGGAACGATGGCTGCTTACTTAATAATGTCCCTTTTTGTCTGTAGTGTCTCATACCGGGTCCGGAGGAACTCCGTAGCTGGCCAGAGTGAACGCAGGTAATCAGATGGGGGACTTGAAGGGTGGTGTGTCCCCTCAAATATTACGTAATCACGAGAGCAGGTGGTAATTCTGGTTGCTTCTTTTGCTGCCTTCACCTGTTCCTCTTGAAATAGTGGAAGAGAGAACGTAGCAGCGTAGGCGTGTGTGTAAGGGCATGCTGTCGCTTCAACTGTCCCATCACTGTCAGATGATTAGAGACGACCAAACTGATGTTCTGTGAGGCTTGACCGTTAATAGCATGTTAGAGTTCTGATGGCAGTTGTTAGCCAAGAGGACGTGGGTCTCCTGGGAAGATTTGGGAATAACATCGTGTTCCGTTTCCACAGGCTCTCCTGGTGGAGTTCTCTGATGGTAAGTGTTGACTGGTGTGACATTACGTGCTGGGGTCTGGCACCAGTGAGGAATCCATGTCCTGTCTTACTCCCAGGTTTAATCCCAGAGCCAGAAATGGTGAACCCACTGGGGTGACTGGGAGATGGGATGCCAACTGGTTCCTTAAGGAACTGTCTGAGGTTGCATTGCCCTGGTTATTTGCCATCTGGTACCCACCAGGCCCACCTTGACTGAATCCTTTGCTCTGCAGGTGGCCTAGGCCTGGGTTTCTCCGGAGTCTTCAGAGCAAGAAGGTCAGTTGGTTTTTCTTTTGAGGCTCACACCACCAAGTAGGCAGTTTCTGGGATGAATCAAACTAGCTCACTATGATTGATCATGAAAATACGTGAACGCCTGAGAAACTGGGCAAGGTGGGACCGGGGAGGCCTGCTGGAGGCACCTTCACCATAGGCTCCTCCCCTGCAGGTCCTGTCACTGCTGGCGACCCGCTCCCTGTGCACAGCATGCTGCGATTCCACCAGGTGAGTGGCTGCCACATGCACTGCGGGAAATCCTAAACTGGCTTGGCACAGGCTCCTTCCTGGGCGCACGTGATGACTTCCATGGAATCTCGTTCGGCTGATGGTGTACTGTTGAGACTCGGAAATCTGATAACACATCTTTGGTAGATTGCACATTATTTTGGTGCAAGTGACCCTGATGGGCTCCATCTTTTTGTTTTAGGTACAGAACTTTGAAGACCACCACAGTTGATCTGAGGTAAATGTCTTGCCCACAGCGTTTGCTCTGGCACTGTTCAATGCCTTAGCTGCTCACTCATGATGAGTTCCTACCGCCCCAGTCTGAGTACTCTGACTGAAAGGTACTCTCTGATCTGTGAGCTCCAGCAGTGGGCTCTTCTGCAGCCTGTAGTTAGACTAGCAAGTGCTGCTGTGCCCGGGAAGTTTACAGAGTTTTACAGATGTGCTTTCCTGTCTTGCAGTGAAGCCGAGCTGTGTTACTGCTGAATTCGCCTGACTTCACCTGCAGGTGAAGGTAAGCAGTCTTGAATGCCCAGTGGGCTGAACTGGGATGTCCCAATGAGGAAACACTCCCACGTCTAACTTCCTGTCCTGGTCCCAGAGCCTGCAAAGGTGAACCCACTGGGGCTGGCTGGGGGAAAAGAGGAGAACCCGTTCCGGAAGGAACTGTCTGAGGGACAAAGCCTGTGCATAGGAAGAAACTTCATTATGGCACCTGCTCAGATAACTCGTTTTTTATTTCCAGGCCTGAATAAAAAACAAGCTGCGTGTATATATAGAAGGTAGGTATCGAGCATTTAATGTGTAGCTTCTGGACACGGACACCCCTTGCATTGTGCTTCCTTCAACTAACATGATATGCTTTTCTTTTCCCTTTATAGGACTCTCAAGTCTGAGGACTTAAGAACTCTCAAAATCATTAAAAGTGAACCTTAAGTCAATGCAAGCTCTCCAATAAAGTTATTTTTCTTCATAACCACTTGTGCAATTCATGTCTGACTGGTATGATCAGAGGAAGATGAATTTTGAACTTGCATTACATGTTTTGCTCCCAGCTGTTTGACCTAAGTATTACTGGCCTACAGAAGTCAGAGCAACTATGAAGCAGTTAGTTGCAAAATGGATCATCCACCAATTTCCCCAATCAACAACCTCACCTGAGCAGGAGATGTGGTTTCCTTTCTGGTCCACAAGTCATTGTTTCAGCTGGAGCACATCTCTGTTACCAATTTGGAGAGTTGGTGGGAGGAACTGCAACATCCCAAAAGGTGGCTCTAGCACAAGTTAACCAAATCCCCAGTTTATAGGGAGTTCCCAGCTGTGCTACCTACAAGGCACATTGCTGTCAACCTCTGCACAGCTGGATTCTTAGGTGTCCACAGCCACAATGCAAGTCGGGGTGGGGCCACCACCTGCAGCATCTCTTGACCAAGATGGCTGTGGGGTGAAGGGAGTACAGGAACCATTTGGAAGGCAGGATAAGGGTTGCTGTCCGTGCTAAGGTGTTGGTTCAATGAGGTGTTGGAGGGGATGGCATTGGGTTGAGGCACACTAGTTAATCCTCCACTTGCTACGACAGCATCAGTCCTATGATGTATGAACACCCAGAAAAATGTCCTTCCAGGCCTCGTTTGGAAGATGGCTGGGCCCTTGCCGCCACATGAGAGGCCTGCAGTTCTGGATTCTTGGCTTCATCAGGGAGCTTCCTGGCTGTTGTGGCGGGTTCACGTGGGGAACAACAAATACAAGTGAGCAGCATCTTCTGCCATCTCAACTCTGGTTACTGAGTAGGTGGAGCTGCTGACATTTTTAAGTTGGAGAGGTCCTCACCAGGCAATTCTGATGCAGATGCTTGATAGGTCTGAGAGTGGTCAACTCAGTAATGACAGCCCCAAAACTGCCAGGGTGAGTCCTGGGAAGACAAGGCTGCCCGGCTGGGGGAGCACCACTGTTCAGAGGTGGAAGTGGAGAAAAGCACAGGTGCTGACTTGGGAACAGTCAGGAGTGAGTGGAAGAGACAAACAGCAAGCAAAATCGGTGCTGTCAGACTAGAGGTGGGGCAGCTGAGAACAGGTTTAACCAGTAGATGGTGCTCTGGAGCTGGTAAGTTACTGCTGCATCAGTCCAAGATACAGGACCAAGACTTGCAGTGGGTTAGAACTAGGGGCGAGGAGGCAGGATCCCTGCGAAGCTCTTGGTAGATAATCGGCAAATTCACATTTGGCAAAATCATTCCAACTAAGTCTCAAGTGCATGGCTGCATGTGTGAGGACGAAGAAGACTGCTGATTGCAAAGCCACAGCCATAGCTCTGTGCTACCGCATGGCCATGGGCCTCAACAAGGGCCACCAGGTGACCAAGAACCATGAGCAAGCCGAGGCACAGCTGCCGTTACGCGCACCTGACAGCACTCCAAGTTCATGGTCCAGGAGGTGTGCAGCTTGTGCCACGGAACTGCTCAAGCTCTCCTAGGACACACAGGTCCTCAAGTTCGTCAATAAGCAGGCGTGCACATCTGGGCCAAGCGGAAGCAGGAGGAGCTGAGCAGCCAAGAGGAAGGTGCCACCAAGGACATTCACTCCTGCCCTCTCTTTGTAATAAACCTCTCCATGCCAAAGAAAGGGAAAGGAATGAGGGAGAGAAGGAAGAGTAGCTTGCAGCCAGCATGGTGATGTTGCCGGCTAAGCCTCTGCCTATAGCACTGCTAACCCATACCGGTTCTAATTCATGTCCCAGCTGCTCCTCTTCCCATCCAGCTCCCTGCTTGTGGCCTGGGAAAGTTGTAAAGGATGGCCCAAAGCCTCGGGACCCTGCATCCACATGGGAGACGCAGAAGAGGCTTCTGGCTTCAGATTGGCTCAGTTCCAGCCATTGTAGCCATTTGGGGAATGAACCAGCAGATGAAAGATCTTTCTGTCTCTCCTCTCTGTACATCTGCCTTCCCAATAAAAATAAATAAATCTTTTCTTAAAAAAAAGAAAAAGTTCCTGCCTCCTGGTTTCAGCCTAGCCCCATCCTGACCATTGCGGTCATCTGGAGAGTGAACTAGGGGATGGAAGACAGTCTCAGGGTCTCTCATTTTTACGTAAAATGCCACAAGCCCCCAGTCAATAAACTGCTTCCCCTCCAGCCCAGAAATGCACCCCTAGAAAGGAGAAGTCCTTGCTGTTGCTGCTTGTTCATCCCAGAGGAGAGACGGCCAATCAATCAGTGAAATAATGCAGTGGTTTCCAACCAGAAATAATTCTGCCTTTCACTTGGCATGGTCTACAGTGACCTGAGTGTCACAGTTTGGGACGGTGGGGTTGGTTAACACGTACAATGGGCCTCTAGTTGGTGAAGGCCAGGCCTCCTGCTAACCACTGTGGTACCCACACCAGTCCCTCTCCCCGGCCCTCAAGCAGTGAATTATCAGTCCAAAATATCTGTCACGCTTTCCGTCACCGTAAGATTGATAATAAATGCTGGAAAGAAGACACTGTAGTGCAGTAAGAAGGCATGTCTTGGGGCTCAGCATGGTGGCTCACAGCTTCATCCTCAACCTTCAAGCACCAGCATCCCATGTGGGCGCTGGTTCATGTCCTGGCTGCTCCACTTCCCATCCAGCTCCCTGCTTGTGCCCTGGGAAAGCAGTCGAGGATGGCCCAAAGCCTTGGGACCTTGCACCAGCATGGGCGATCCGGAAGAGTCTCCTGGCTCCTGTCTTCAGATCGGCTCAACTCCAGCCATTGTAGACACTTGGGGAGTGAGTCAGCAGATGGAGGATCTTCCTCCCTGTCTCTCTTCCTCCTCTGTGTATATCTGACTTTCCAATCAAAAGAAATAAATCTTTTTTAAATGGATGTCAGAAGTCTGCATCCTGCATCTCAGTTCCAGTTGTGCTTGCCGTCCCAGTTCAACAGCTCAGGCAGAAGCAGACACCCAGCATGCCTTGTTCTGGTTCCAGCTGCTCCGTGCTTCTGAGCTAGCTCATGAAGCACAAGGTGGCACAAAGATTTGGGTTCCTCTGTTCAAGTTTTATTTATTTGAAAGGTACATTTGCAGAGAGGAGTGAGTGGAAGAAAATGCTTGCATTTACTGGTTCATTATGCGAATGACTCCGAGGTCCAGGTCTGAGCCAGAACAGGGCCAGGAGCCTGAAACTACACCCAGGTCGCCCACACGGGAAGGAATCCTCGTGGCCCTAAGCACTTGAACCATCCTTCCTCTGCTTCCCCAGAGAGAGAGAGAGAGCAAGTCAGCTTGTCCACACCAAAGTCACAGCGATGCTCCGGGCAAGCGTGTGGGTTACGAAGGATCGGCTCTCACGGCCAGGATTGAGACTGAGGAGTCAGGGACAAATTCTGCCGGGGCGTTCTGCAGTCCAGGCGGCAGGCGGCCAAAGCCCTTAGATGCAGACGTGGAACAACATGCTTAGGGAGATGGCACTCACACAGTCCTGCCTCTCTCCTCCCTCTGGCACTGAGGACCTCCTGGTGGTCTCGGTGGCTGGTGGGCAGCAGGAATGGAGACGTGACCTTAGCCTATTGCCACGTCAGCTAGACATCTCAGACCCTTATTAGTAAAAACTGCTGTGGGGGACTGGACATGGTTCCTCCCGCATCCTCCAGAGAGGAAATCTCTGCCCTGTACCCCAGCCAAATTGTTTGATATATATATATATATATATTTTTAAAGATTTATTTTTATTATTTTTAATTGGAAAGGCGGATATACAGAGAGGAGAGACAGAGAGGAAGATCCTCCGTCCGATGATTCACTCCCCAAGTGAGCGCAACGGCCAATGCTATGCCGATCCGAAGCCAGGGGCCTCTTCCGGGTCTCCCACGCGGGTGCAGGGTCCCAAAGCTTTGGGCCGTCCTCGACTGCTTTCCCGGGTCACAAGCAGGGAGCTGGAAGGGAAGCGGGGCTGCCGGGATTAGAACCGGCGCCCATATGGGATCCCGGGCGGGCGTGCAAGGTGAGGACCTTAACCACTTGCGCCACTGCGCAGGGCCCTATATATATTTTTTTTAAAGATTTTTTTTTAATTGGAAAGTCAGCTATACAGAGAGGAGGAGAGACAGAGAGGAGAATCTTCCGTCCAATGATTCACTCCCCACGAGGCCGCAGAGGCTGGAGCTGACCTGATCCTGATCTGAAGCCCAGAGCTTCTTCTGGATCTCCCACATGGATGCAGGGTTCCAAGGCTTTAGGCCATCCTCTGCTGCTTTCCCAGGGCACAAACAGGGAGCTGGATGGGAAGCAGGGCCACCGGGATTAGAACCAGCATTAATATGGGATCCTGGTGCATTCAAGGAGAGGATTAGCCAGTTGAACCATTGTACCAACCCCGACCCCTTGCCATGTACACACAGGCGTGGATCCCAGGCCTGTCACCATGTGCACACACAGGGCCAGGCACAGATCCAAGGACCCCCAGCCCCTCACCACATGCATACACAGGCCAGGCACACACCATAGCACAGTGGGGTCGGTATCAGCCGGCTCAAATGATAGGACAGTGCCACCAGGAGGCCACATTGGGCACGTACTGCTCAAGCCAACGAGACTGGGGAAAGAACCCATGCCCTTCAGGGAATATGTGGGCAGGTGTTGGGGGTGGAGGTGCTCCCGTGGCAGAAGCTGCTGCGGGGTCTGACCTGCAGCCCAGCCCAACACCTCCTGTGGGTCTCAACTCATCCCTGTCTACCTGCACTGGCTACCCCTACCTCGATGGCCCCAACACAGAAGCCTTAGAGCAGGACAGCAATCAGTAGGCTGCAGACATGGCTGGAGACAGCCATTCCAGGTGAGGACTTCAGGCCCATATTTTACTTCAGTTTGATACAGTTCCATAGGCTCTGGGGTTGCCCATTTCCCTCCCCAAGGTTCCCACACCATTGATTTCCCCTCTAATTTTACAATGGGTGCTAGATTTGCCGCTCACCAAAATGCTAGATTTGTCGACCACCAGGGAAAAAATAATTCAGCCAAATATATAAGAAGAATTTAGCTGGCCTTTATTTCAGGGAACCACGGTCACGGGCTTTCCTTCCCCGTGCAGCAAACAGACAGATGTCAAGTTGAAGGTTGCAGAGGAAGAACATGGAAGATTTGGGAAAGGGCCTTTTAAAACTCTCCTTGACACAGAAGCGGAAACAGGGTCGCCTCGGCCCTTAATTGGTGGGGGGGATACGGGTATGTGTCCCTCATTGGTGCAACGGTCGGGGGAGGGTCATAGCCAGAGGGGCCCCTCAGAATTCTGCCATCCTTTCCAGATTTGGTTGGAGGCAAACTCCGTCCTCCTCCGGTTACCGTGGTAGCGATCAAAAGGTGTCCTTCATGAACTGTCACAGGTTCATCATGCTGTTATGCGGTGTTCCCTGACAGCGTAGGCATGGACAATGTCAGCGAGTCCACCATCTTACTGTTAGGATGTATTCGGTTCTTTCCCTGGGAGTCCATCTTTGGTCCGTATGCTCAGACACATAAAGCGTTTTGTCTCCATATCTGAACAAATCAGTCCGCCCTACAATGCCACTATACAGCCGCTAAAATACAGACCCAGTGAGCACAGCCCACAATAGGGTGAAAGTAGTAAATTTTCGTCAACATGAAGTTAACAAACAAGCTACAAAAAATATTGATGGGTCGCCAAGGGCAGTGAAAATGGGAGTCAAAAGCCTTCTTGTGGGAATAGATGCTAGTGCTTGACCCTTGTGGCACCGAGGAATTACCATTAGACACTAAAACTTCCTTTGTTATGATATGAAGCATAACGGTGCTGAGCCTAGCCCAGCTTCTATGGGTGTGTGCTTTGTCTCTTCTGACTAGTTCCTAGTTGCCTGTGCTGTCCCCTCCCTCTTCAGGCAAGGGTAGAGTGTCTGAGGACCTACAACTTTGGTCCCTGGAGTCAAGAAGCAGACGCTGTTTGTGTACAGGGCAGAAACTGTTGGGATAGGCAGCCTGTATCAGAGCTGTTGGAGTTCCCGATTCCCCGGGGCCTGGGGGACCGCGAGGGTCGGCTGCCTCGTCGCTGCCCGTCAGGTACCTGACCCCTCGGCTCCCTCCCAGCTGGCCATGTGAGACGTTTGGAAAAAGACCTAACAGATGGGGGGTGGGTGGGGGTCTCTACTTAGTCCAGATTTGCATTTCCACATCAGGTTGAGTGGCTGCTAATTTAGTAGCTTCCAAGAAGCAGGACCCGGAGTCCTTTCTCAGCCCTGCTTGGTCTGAACCCTCTGCATACAGCTAAGCTTGGCTTCCGTGGGATTTCCTCAGCTTTGGAGGTGCATCCTATGAAGGAAAAGCGCCGGGAGAGAAGCCCTGGGATGTGAAGGAGTTGCGGCTCCGGGCTGAGGAGGGGTCCTCAGTTCTTACCAGCACCCCCGGGGAGCCCACGCTCCGACCCCTCACTCAGCAGAGACTAGAACCCAAGAAACACGCCTCACACTGACACCGAGTTCCCTGTCGCTCCAGAGAAAGGCAGGTCACTCCAGAAGAGACTGAGGCTGCGCGGAAATTACAATCCGGAATAGCAAGAGGACCAATCCTGAGACTGTAAACGAGCGGGGCGGGGTTTATGTAGAATAGACCGAGCAACAAGCCTGCTGGAGAAGCAGCAAAGGACTCTATTTAAGGTCTCTTTTCTCTAAATATCTTTCTTCTTATAGGTTAAAAACTAATGAAACATTAATTTTAAAAAATTAATTTATCAGAAACTGGTTTACTCGATACGATTGAAAACGCACCACAACTGAGTTAGGTATAGTAACGGCAGGGCCGCCTCGAGGACCAGCTACTTAGCATCGCTTCTCGGCCTTTTGGCTAAGATCAAGTGTAGTATCTGTTCTTATCAGTTTAATATCTGATACGTCCTCTATCCGAGGACAATATATTAAATGGATTTTTGGAACTAGGAGTTGGAATAGGAGCTTGCTCCGTCCACTCCACGCATCGACCTGGTATTGCAGTACCTCCAGGAACGGTGCACCCCTCCGGGGGAACAATGCTGGTTAAAAAAAAGAATATGTGGTCGTTACTTTTAGTTTATTCTGTTTCTGCTGTCTATTAAAATGCTTTCATTTTCAAGAACCTCTTTGTTGGAGTTGTTATCTTTAGAAAACCACAAGTAACACCCAGGATTAAAAGGAAAACTTGCATATCCGTGTTTGGGGAATAGGGGAATTTATGTTGGGTTGCATCAGCTAGTGGGCACTGAGAAATTAGTCGTATTTGCAGTAGCGACATTAAATCAGAAACATTGAGCAACCAAAACCACCGAGGTAGAACCTTGAAAAAGCATCCTTCAGGTCAGAGATCCTGCGATCTGCGGCGGGCAGGTCTTCCTTTCTCCTACTTCCCAGATGCAAAAAAATAAACACATAAAATGTGAAAACCATGGTTTTATTTTTCTGTAGCCCTTGACATTCTGTGCCCTAATCAACTAAGTTATTTTGATCAAAGTGAGAAAAACGACGAAAGCGATGACACCTCCTCCTGCCCTTACCACGTTTGATGCTTGCTTGTAATGTGGTGTGCCAGGATATTCTAGATGTTCGCGCAAAGTCGGAAAAACGGAAAGGAAAGATCTCTATAACTTTCCCAGGACAAAAGCAGAGGGACAGTGAGGCCGCCGGGATTAGAACCGGGGTCCAGACGGGGTCCAGACGGGGTCCAGACGGGGTCCGGTGCGTTCAAGGCGGGGGCTTTACGTGGACCACCGCATTGTGGCTTAACACTACTCGAGAAAGAAAACAAGCGAAGCAGAGACGGAGGCAGCTCTTCCTTCGCTGGGTCACTCGCCAAGGCCCCGCGGCGGCCGGAGCTGTCCCCCGACCCAGCGGCCGGCCGCCCTGGGTGAGTGGGTCCCGGGCTGAGAGTGCGCACCGAGCCCGCGGCGGACAAGGCTCTGACGCCACCGCGGTCCGGCCGCTTGACGACCGAGAGCTGCGGACCCCCAGGCCGCTCCTCAGGCTTCCGCAGGCCGAGCTTTTGGGGAGGGGAAATCCTCACTTCCCGCCACGGCTTAATCCGGATGACGCCCGGCCCCTACTGGTGACGGCACACTGCGCCGGAAGTGAGCTCCCCGTTTCCGGTTTCCGTCATGGCGGCCGCCGTGGCTCGCTGGAATCATGTGTGGGTCGGCACCGAGACCGGGATCCTGAAAGGTGCGTTACGGGTGGGTGTCTGGGAGGGTCAGGGCTCGGGGACAGCGGGTGTCCCCCGCCCGTGTCCTGCGGGGGGCTGATGTCTGGATCCCGCAGGCGTGAACCTTCAACGGAAGCAGGCGACCAACTTCACGGCGGCCGGCCAGCCGCGGCGCGAGGAGGCCGTGAGCGTGCTGTGCTGGGGCGCGGGCGGCGAGAGCCAGGTGTGGGGGGATGGCCGGGAGATGGCCGGGAGATGGCCGGGGAGGCCTCGGGCGGGGACCTCGCACGCCTTGACGCCCGCTCCTGCGCGCAGATATTGCTGGGCTGCGCGGACGGCACGGTGAAGCGCTTCGGGACCGAGGAAGGCGCGTTCCAGGGACACAGGCGCTGTCCCGGCGGCGAGGGCACGTTCCGGGGCCTCGCCCAGGCCGACGAGTAAGAGCCGCCTCCTGCCTGGACTTGGGGGGCGGGGCAGGGAAATGCGGAGTTCCCTGGGTCGCCGAATGCATGCATGCCATCAACCCCTGGTGACTGCCTTCCCTCGGTACTGGGATGTTGGCCGGGGTGATGCAAAGACCGCGGGAGAAGCTTCTGTGCCAGGTGACTTCCTCTTGATGCATTAGAGCGTTGGGGACAATCCCGGGAGAGTCTCTTAGTAATAATGGGGATCGTGAAATTAGTGGACGCTGACAGCCCCCAACAGAGCGGTGAGGCTGCCCAAGTCGAATGATACAAGGAGGTAATGGTGAGGGTGACCTGGCCCCAAGCACCTGGGTCACCCTCCCGTTGTTTTTCCAGTCGCGTGAGCAGGGAGCTACATTCCAGATAGAAACAGCCAGGACTCGAAGCAGCACTCATGTGGAATACAGGCGGTACAGGCGCTGCCTTAGCACTGAGCCGTGACAGCAGGGAAGCATTATGGTATCAGATGCGTGTGGCGTAATGCAGGGACGCCACAGAAAAGGCTTTTGATGTGAGGTTGAGAGAACTGCACTCTTGCGTTGTAGATGGAGGGCAGCGATGGGCTTTGAGCTGGAAGTGCCCCATCAGGGCCATGAGCCTGTAGGAGTGTACAGTGTGCAGGATGGGTTGCTGAGAGAACGGTTAAGACACTGTGGCCACAACCTGAACCCAGACAGAGGGAGCGGGTGGGCAGGTGCACCGAGAGCCTACGGGCCCAGAATTCATGGATCCGGGAAGAAACTCCCTGGAGCTTCTTGGCAGGAGTATTTTGTAAAAGAGACTTCCAGAACTCGAGAGAGGAAGCTGAAATCCAGATCAGCCCCACTTCCGTCCTTTCAGAGTTACTGTCTTGATTCTGAGTGTTTGACTCAGTAGGTGGGTTGTCTGGTGCCCCCAGGTCCCCTGTCTTAGTGCCTGGGTTCAGGTCGTGTAGCCCCACTTTCTGCTTCTTGGTAATGGGGAGGTAGCGGGTAATCTCTGGCACCCACGTGGGGAAATGTGAAGTTAATCCAGGTCTCCCTGGTTAGTGGCAGGGGCCCAATCATTGTAAGCTGTCACCTGTTTCCTCCCATGGCAGCACCAGCAGAAGATGGGAGCCAGTGCTGCAGGCAGAGGCTTACCGTGCTGTGCCATGGGAACACAGGTGTCTTCATCGGCATCTTAACCACAGGGTCAAATGCAGTATCTTTTAATTTCTCAGAGTGGCATCCTGTATGGGTGCCGGTTCGAGTCCTGGCTGTTCCACTAAAGATCCAGCTGCCTGCTATGTCTGGGAAAGTAGCAGAAGGAGGCCCTAGTCCTTTTGTCACTGCACCCAGATTGGTGACCTGGAAGAAGCTTCAGCTCAGCTAGCTATGGTTGTTGCAGCTGTTTGGGGAGTGAACCAGTGGGTACAAGATCTCTGCCTCTCTAAATCTGCCTTTCAAATACAAAATAAGACAAAACAAAACAACAAAAAACCTTGCCAACTCTCTCCTCCTGTCACAGTTCCCTCATCACGTGTGTGGACTCTGGGATCCTCCGGGTCTGGCGTGACAGTGACAAGGAGGCCTCTCCTGACCCGGTGAGGCTCCCCTGGGCCGGGCAGGTGCCTGAGGAGGGCTTTAGGGGAGGGAGGATGAGGACCCTGGAAATAATTCCCTCTCCCCTTGTCAGCTTCTGGAACTGAGCGTGGGCCCTGGGGTGTGTCGGATGCGGCAGGATCCAGGACGTCCCCATGTGGTCGCCACAGGCGGGAAGGAAAATGCACTGAAGGTGTGGGACCTGCAAGGGTCTCCGGAACCTGTGTTCAGGGCCAAGAATGTGAGTGGAGGGCAGGGAGGGGCTGCCCTTGAGTTCCTGGAGGCTGTGACCAGGGACTGAGTCACACCAGTAGACCACAGGGAGGGACTCCTGCTTGTCTCACGAGATTGATCCACACTTTCCCTTCCTGCCAGGTGCGGAATGACTGGCTCGACCTGCGTGTTCCCATCTGGGACCAGGATATCCAGTTCCTACCCGGGTCTCAGAAGCTTGTCACCTGCACAGGGTACCACCAGGTACAAGAGCGTCCACCCCCACCTCCTTGTGGCTGACGGCCGCCCTGGACAGAATGGGTCCCTGTGGTGTGGCATGGCCTCCTCGGCCTCCTCGCCAGCTGAGCTCTAGGCCATGCACTCCTGTCCCAGAGCCTGGGACTTCCCTCGCTGCAGTCTAGGACGGTGTCCTCTGAAGAGTGGCTCTTCTTTCCCTCCCCCGTGTAAGAAAGGAGGCAGTGCCCTTTCCCAGAGGGATCTGGAGAGTGCATTGTCATCAACAGACATCGGGCTTGCCTGCTGCAGCCCCTCTGATGGGCTTCCAGACGCTGGCCTGACTCATCTCCAGCCTCAGCGCTACATGAAGGACTTGTCTTGTTCGGAACCCTGGCTTGGGGCAGTGGTGGCTCAACAGGCTAATTCTTCACCTGCAAACTCTGGCATTCCAAATGGGCACCAGTTTGTGTCCCAGTTGGTCCACATCCATCCTGCCAACATGCCTGGGAAAGCAATGGAGGGTAATCCAAGTTCTTGGTACCCTGCACCTGCATGGGAGAGCCGGAAGTCTGGACTCCCACTTCTGGACTGGTCCAGGTTTAGGCATTGCAGCCAGTTGGGGAGTAAACCAAAAAATGCAAGATCTTCCTATCTCTGTAAGTCTGCTTTTCAAATAACATCTTGCTTTTTTAAAAAAAAAAATTTATTTATTATTATTTTTTTTATTGGAAAGGCGGATATACAGAGGAGAGACAGAGAGGAAGATCTTCCGTCCAATGATTCACTCCCCAAGTGAGTGCAACAGCCGATGCTATGCCGATCCGAAGCCAGGGGCCTCTTCTGGGTCTCCCACGCGGGTGCACGGTCCCAGAGCTTTGGGCCGTCCTCGACTGCTTTCCCGGGCCACAGGCAGGGAGCTGGAAGGGAAGTGGGGCTGCCGGGGATAGAACCGGCGCCCATATGGGATCCCGGGCGTGCAAGGCGAGGACCTTAACCACTACACCACCGCGCCGGGCCCAACATCTTGCTTTTGACCATCCTCCACTGCTTTCCTGGGCCATAAGCATGGAGCTGGATGGGAAGTACAGCAGCTGGGACACAGGTTGGCACCCATATGGGATGCTAGCATTGCAAGGGGAAGAATTCACTGCTTGAGCCTATTGCACTGGCGCCAAAAAATAAGTAAATCTCTGAATAACAAAATGAAAAGTTTAAAAAAAAAATAGTCCTGAGACTCAATGGGAGCTGGTGCTGGTCGCCACATGGTCCGCACATGTGTCGTCTGCTTTGCTCCTGCACGTGGCTGGGTAATACAGGGGATGTGGAGTATTCACACACACTCGCCAACACACACTGCCATCCTCTCCATGCTCGCTCCCAAGCGGCTCCCCTCCCATTACACAGAGCTCCCTGTGAGGGACCTTCCGCTGCAAAGCCTGTCTGGGAGCAGGGCACAGGTGCCCAAGGGCAGTGCACTGGCTGAGGGCACACTGTGATGTTAGTCTTCCTCAAGGTCCGCGTCTACGACCCAGCGTCCCCACAGCGCCGGCCAGTCCTGGAGACCACCTACGGAGAGTACCCACTGACGGCCATGACCCTCACTCCTGAGGGCAAGTAGGTGGGCCGAGGGGATCGGGTGGGGCTTGGGGAGACCTCGGCAGGTTTCTGCTGAGTCCCCTCACGCCTTGGGTCTCCTCCTCAGTTCGGTGATTGTCGGCAACACTCATGGGCAGCTGGCAGAAATTGACTTGCGGCAAGGTCAGTTTACTGGGGGTGTGGGGAGGAGGGCGGGGTGCTCCCCTCAGCTGGAGTTGGGGAGCCGTGAAGCTTGCTGCCTGGCACCAGATTGCCCAAGTGCAAAGCTTGGCTTCATCCGAAGTTGTGTGACTACTCCTGAATGAAACGGAAACACTGCTGACTCAGTTGTAGTTGGCTGACCAGCCAGCACTGATGTCTGCCCACTCCTCCAGGGCGCCTGTTGGGCTGTCTCAAGGGACTGGCGGGCAGCGTCCGTGGGTTGCAGTGCCACCCTTCAAAACCCTTGCTGGCTTCCTGCGGCTTGGACAGGGTCTTAAGGATCCACAGGATCCGGAACCCACGGGGCCTGGAGCATAAGGTGAGAGCCCTGTGCCCTGGACCCTTCTCTGAACGTGCCATCTCCAGGAGCTCCGTGTTGTGTGCCCTCCCTCCTCACCCCTGTTGGTGTGTCTGGCAGCCGCCGGGCACCTAGTGACCCCAAGTCTTTTGCTTGCAGGTTTATCTCAAGTCTCAGCTGAACTGCCTGCTCCTGTCAGGCAGGGATAACTGGGAGGTGAGCAGCCAGGACTGGGAACGTGGGAGCCAAGGTCACAGCCGGGAGGTGGGGCAGGCAGCTGGGACGCGGTTGGGGCCTGTCCTGCCGAGATCCTCCATTTCTCTGCTGGGCGTTAGCAGTTGTGACAGGGAGACTGCCAAGAGTGGCCTGCCCAGCAGTGGCTGCCGGGAAACTCGGCAGGATGGCCTCACCCCTTTGCTCCCTTCCCCTGCCCCAGGACGCGCCCCCCGAGCCCCCGGAGCCCGCGGAGCTGCCCGCAGAGGACACGGAGACCGATGAGCTTTGGGCGGCCTTGGAGGCAGCGGCGGCCAAGCGCAAGCTCCCCGATTCCGAGCCCACACTGGGGGCTCCCCAGAGCAGGCGGAGGAAGAAGAAGCGCCCCGGCTCCGTCAGCCCCTAACACCTGTGCCCACTTTGTAAATAAACATCCCGGCCCCCACCGTGCCCCCGGCCTTCTGTGAGGGGAGAATGGAGAGGGTTGGCTGGCTGGGGGGACGTCACAGAAGCCGGGCCTGGAGCCGGGCAGGCCTGGAGCCGGGCAGGCCTGGAGCCGGGCAGGCCGGCCGCGGGGCGCGGAGTCGGGCCGCGCGGGGCGATGGGCTGCTGCCAGGACAAGGACTTTGCGGCCACGGACGAGCAGGCCAGGGACTTCGAGGAGGCTGGGGGCGGTAGGGCAGGGAGGACGCGGCTGGGGAGGGGAGAGGCGCCGGGGGCACCGCCCAGGAGGCCGGGGCGGGCGGTCCCGGGGAGAGGCGAGACCCAACAGGCTCGTCCCCGCAGGCGCCCAAGCGGTCCGTTTGGACTCCCCAGGCCACCGGAATCACAAGTCCAACGACAGCCTTCTGATCACCGTGCTGTGGCGGCGCCTGTCCTTGTTCAGCCGCCGGGGCTCCTCGCGGGGCAGCAAGAAGCACTCGGGACCCATCCAGAAGCGGGAGAGCCCGATCCCGGAGGACATGGCGGAGGAGAGCCGGGAGGAGCCGGAGAAGGGATGAGCCCAGGCCTGCTCTCAGTGCGCCCCAGCCCTCAGAGAATAAAATTTCTAACGTGGACCGGCCCGACGAATTGGCGTGTGCTGTCTGCTCTGTGGGCGAAGGGTCGGGCCCCGCGGAGGCTGCGGGCTCTTTAAGCCTCGCCCCCACGGGGCGGGGCCCCGATGGCAGCCCAGCCAATGAGAGGTCCGAGTTGCGCTTGCGTCGAGGCAGGGGCGTGCCTCGGGTGGCCCGGCTCGCAGAGGCGTGGCGCTGCCTTTCCGTCAGCGGGGCGGGGCTACGTGTGGGTGACGTGGCGGCCCCTCGCCTCGGGTCGGGATTCGGCGGCTCCGAACGCGGGGAGAAGGCGGTGACGGTCAGGGAGACGCTGGCAGGCCGCAGACAGGAGGTAGGACACGCCCTGAGGGATCGGGCCGCCGTGGAGACCCGGGGCAGCGACTTCAAACGGGAGAGCGACGAGCGGGGGAAGGGAGCCAGGGCGAGCGCGCTAGTCCTGCCGGCCGGGCTCCGAGTGAGCGAGTAGCTGGCCGTCCAATCAGGAAAGCCCCTGCTGAGACAGACGTGGGCATGAGCTAATGAGTGGTTGCAGTCTGCCAGAAAGGCGGAACTTTGGCAGAGGTGGGACTTCCTGTTTCAAATAAACACCCAGAGGGTCCCTCTCCGCCAGCAGAGTGTGTCCCTCGCAGGAAGGCCGCCCCCGTTTCTCCCTGAAGTGTGGGAGGAGACCCCGGCCGCACGGGGCGCCCTGTTAGGGCAGGGAGCAGGTGCACAGGCCGGGCGGGAGCCGCAGGGCGCTGTCCGTGCTTCGGGAGCCCCCCCTCCGGCCGCGCTCTGGTCGCCGGAACCGAGTTGGACGGGTCGGCCTGGGCCCAGAGGAGGAGGTGGCCGCTCTCCGTCGCGGGCTGGTGGGGAAGGAGGCTGCCTGGGCAGTGACTCTCTCCCCTCCACCACAGTCCGAGGTTATGCGTCTCAATGATCCCACGGAAACGCTACGGGTCTAAGAACACGGATCAGGGTGTCTACCTGGGACCCTCAAAGACGCAGGTCCTGTCTCCTGCAACTGCTGCCAGCAGCGACCTCGGCCCGCAGCCCCCTCCAGAGATCCTGGTCCCCTCCCCTCCCGACACCATGTCCTGCCGGGATCGGACCCAGGAGTTCCTGTCCGCCTGCAAGTCGCTGCAGAGTCGTCAGGTGAGGCGGAGAGCGACCCTTACCCCCTGTCCCACACTGTTAGTGGAAATGGCAAGGGGGGGATTCTGGAGGGAAGAGGCTGGTTAACTGCAGGCTAGAGACTTGGGTGTTTTTGGTGTGAAATTCTCTGGAGGGTGGCATTGAAGGAATGCCGGAGGGCAGGCCCTGACTGCAGGTGTTTGGACAGCCAGCTGAAAGGCCGGCTCCTGGAGTTTGAGCTGCAGCGAGTTCAGCCACAAAGTTGCTCTGTGCGGGGCGGGGATGGGAGGGGGGAGTGGAATGAAAATAGTTAGACCTGACTTTTTCAGTTTATGAAATCGAGGTGGAGTGGGGGAGAAGTCTGGTACCAAAATCATTTTGGGAGTGCTTCACAAGTAGATTTCCCTTGTTGTTTAATTCCATTTGGAAGCCACGTGGAACCTGAGTAACTTTATCATTGCTTTTACTGATGACGTCTCTGTGATTTTCAAGAGCTTTCCAGTGTTTCTGTTTGATGCTGATTTGAGGGATCGGGTGGCAGCATTATTCTACAGGTGTGTTGAATGCCTACAGGTGGCTGGCTGAAATACAGGCTTTGTGGTATCTGATTTTAGCAGCAGCTGTTGGAGGTGAGTGGGTTTTAGGGAGAGGAAATGGATAGTGCTGCTTCTGCAGGTCAGGTAGTCCAGACTTGAACTCAGGCCTCCCCGTCTTCAAATCTGCCTGGAAAACAGTGTAGCTGATGAGTCTGGGTTATCTGACGCCACTAGTGTGACAGAGTTGAGGGGGTCCTGAGAGACAGTGCAAGCTTCAAGTGGGGGGAAGGAGAGAGAAGTGACGTTTTCACCTCTGACCTTGCTTTTCAGAATGGAATCCAGACAAATAAGCCTGCGCTGCGTGCCGTCCGCCAGCGCAGTGAATTTACTCTGATGGCCAAGTGAGTTCAGAGAGCTTGGTGGCGGGGTGACGCAATGTCTGAGCAGGAGGCTTACCTCTCATCCCTCAGCAGTGAGGTGGGGGGATGGCTGCGCCTAAGAGCTACAATGGGAGGAAGGCCCCCCCACGCTGTGCTCACCAGTGGTCATTTGCAGGCGCATTGGGAAAGACCTCAGCAACACGTTTGCCAAGCTGGAGAAGCTGACAATCTGTAAGTGATCTTGGGGTCTTTCCCAGGAACTGCAGCGAACCCGGAGGGCGGAGGAGCCGGACCCCCCGAGCCACGTCGTTGGTCTCATTCATCATGGCTGCTTGTTTGTCTCTGCAGTGGCGAAGCGCAAGTCCCTCTTTGACGATAAAGCAGTGGAGATCGAAGAGCTAACATACATCATCAAACAGGTGAGCTGCTGCATCACCACCTGGAGAGCCCTGCATTTGGTCACTGTCACGGCCGCAGAGGCAAGAGCCGGCCCAGATCACCCTGCCCCTCTGCTGCGTCATCCTGTCCCCATTGACAGAACCGTGAGGCACGATTCCTGCTTTCCTGGGCGTTTGAGGAGAGGTGTTGCAGCTTCAGATGAACAGAAGGCGTGTGACAGAGCAGAGCTGACAGACAGGTGACCGGGATGCAGGATGCTGGGAAGGATTTGACAGCTGTAGTGATCAGCGCCAGGTTCAGGGCTTGGAAGGAGCCAGTGTGGACTGGTGTGGCTTAGTAAAGGGGAGTTACGTCCTGACTCACCGGTCACCTGCTTGGCAACCTTCCACCCCAGCGTAAAGTTTAACATGTCATCACGCAGACTTTACTACCTCAGTCGGTTTTCTTTTTCCATAGCTTCTGTACTAACGTTCGCCTAAATTAACCTAATGTATGTTTGTCTTTCCTCACTTCACCTCTTCTGTCCTCATTCCCCAAAGAAAAAGCCAGGAGGAAGGGACCCAGGAGTGGGGATTTCTTTTTCTGTGTATTCCTAAATGCCTGTCACACTGAGTAGGCACTCACTGCTCTTGACTGAGGGGGAGACAGCCAGCTGGAGAGGTGGGCTGCTGGCTGCTTCGGAAGAGCATGTGGGCCTTGCTAAGGAGTGTGGAATCATCCTGGATGTGGCAGGAAATGGATGCTGACTGGGGCCATGGATGCAGCGGAGGGGCTCAGAAGCTGCTGTGGCTGTCTGGGAAGGAGGCACGTGCGTCGCGGGGCAGTTAGGATACTGCTTGTAGCCTCACAGCCCGTCTCACTGCGTGAGCTCAGTGCCCTCCACTGCCTCCTGACTACAGCTTCCTGCTGATGTATGCTCGGGGAGGCAGCCAGGATATCTGACAGTCAAGGAGTTGGGTCCCAGGCACCCACGTGAGAAACCCAGTTGGAGTTTGGGAAATGAACCAGTTGGTAGGAATCTGAGTGTGTGTGTGCGCTTCTGTGTCTGCTGTGCTGTTGGGAAGCGTTCCTTTAACTGTTGGGACAAGACTGTAGGCACTTGAGAGCCAGCTTGCTTGAGTTCCAGTGCCAGGTCTGGCACTTACAACCTTGGGGAAGCTCCTAACTGCGCTTTGCTTCATTTCCTTTCATAAACAGGGAATCACAACAGTGCTTTTCTCATAATTTTTTTAAGATTTATTTTGATTTAAAAGGCAGATTTACAGGGAGAGAGAGACAGAAAGATCTTCCATCTACTGGTTCACTCCCCAAATGGCTGCAGCAGCCTTGGCTGATCCAAAAGTAACCTCTTCTGGGTCCTCCACATGGGTGCAGTAGGGGCCCAAGGTCCTGGGCCATCCTCCATGACTTTCCCAGGCCCTAAGCAGGGAGCTGGATGAGAAGTGGAGCAGCTGGGACGCAAATTGGTGCCCGTATGGGATGCTTTGCTTGGAAGTAGAGAATCCGCCTGTTGCCGTAACACTGGTCCCTCTCAGAATTCTTTCTAGGACTCATTTCTGTATTAATTGATCACTGACTGGCTGACTGATTTTCTGAGGGCTGCAACTCACTTAGATGGGGGAGATCTAGGGCTGGTGTGGCTGAGTAGTGATATTTGAGATCTTAATGGTGAGGAAAAGTCTGTCATCCAAAGATCTGATGGGACCACATTCCAGAAAGTGGGAATGCAGTATGTGAAGTGGGATTAGCGAAAGGAGGATAATGGCTGATGTCCTGAAGAGGCCAGTGCAGCTGCAGCGCAGCAGGGAGGCCCGTGAGCGGAGGTGAAGGGTCAGAGAACCGCGCAGTGGCCGGCCCAGAGAACCGACGGCAGTGTGTGTTATACTTGGATTTAGTCATAAATTCTTGGGAGATTTTTTATTTAAGCAACAGGAAGACATCTCCTTACTTTGGGTTTGAAAGGTCACTATGATAAATGTGTAAGGTAGATTGAATGAGGATAGCTGGGGAAAGGCCACCTGGGGGAGACTCTTACAGGTGTTTGTTTGTTTAAGGACAGGCTGGACTAGGGCAGGTGTAGTTGAAATAAGAGGGTAGTTTTGGATTTCCGGTAAGTTCCATCTGTATTTCAGGAATAAGGAATTAAGGATTGTTTTTGAGTTTTCAGTCTCATTACCTGGTTAAAAAATGGTGCCATCATCAAAATGGAAGAAAAAAAACAAAGTGGGGAATGGCTTAGTATGTTGCACCTCACAGATGTGAGGTGTTACATTTGACGGATTCCTGAACACACAGGGAATAAACACTCAGTGGGTTATAGTACCTTGTAACATGTAGATGGGGGAAGGAAGTGTGACTAAGAAGCTCCTTTTGGTGCCTATGAGAGAAGTGGTTACCTACCATTCGTTTCTTTTATTTTTTTATTGGTTTTTTTTTTCATGTTTCTTTAAAAATATCTATCTATATATATAGATAGATAGATATATTTAAGATTTATTTATTTCTGTTGGAAAAGCAGATATAGAGGAGGAAATACAGAGAGGAAGATCTTCCTTCCAGTGGTTTACTCCCCAAGTGGCCGCAGTGGC